AAGTTCTTCGCGTTTCTGGTACCACACACAAGATGGCGTCTAGCTACCATCCTCAAACAAATGGTCTGACCGAGAGATTTCATCGAACCCTTGCCGACATGATAGCCGTATACATTCAACCGGATCACAGAAACTGGCATAAACTTCTACCGTTCCTCACTTTCGCCTACAACACCGCTGTTCAGCGCACAACAGGCTACTCACCGTTTTATCTCGTTTACGGACGTTCACCTACTTTCTTTATCGATGTTTCCTTCTTCACCAGCAATGGCCCTACATCACCATCTTCTTGCGAAGAATATATTTCTCGCCTTGCCCAGTGCCGCCAGCGCGCTCGTATGAACACGGAAGCTACGCAACAAGCAAGGAAGGCCGTCTACGACACCTCTCATCGTGTGGTATCATTCCGACCGGGTGACGAGGTGCTGTTATTGACACCAATTCGCACACCTGGTCTCTGCGACAAGTTCTAGCCTCGATTCATCGGCCCATATGTTGTTTTAGAGCAGACTTCACCTGTCAACTATCGTGTGACGCCTCTTATCGTGCCAACTGACCGTCGTTACCGCAGCACCGAAATTGTACACGTTTCCCCCATGAAGCTTTTCACACGACGTTCCTCGTCACCTTGACTACCCGCCCGCAGCGGCCAGGCTGGCCGCTTCCACGGGGGGGGGGGGGGGGGGAATCAGTGTAGGCATCTATTATGCGCTTCATCCTCATCTGAACAGCAGTCAATCATCATCATATGTTCTGGCTGACAATCATCATCTGCTTGGCACGAGCGCTTCTTTGTCGGGTCCGTTGCGCTTGTTCGTTCCCGAGTTCACGGCCAATAAACCTCGCTACAACCGAGTCGTCATATATATATATATATATATATATATATATATATATATATATATATATATATATATATATATATATGGGGGGGGGCATTAACTGCGCTTTTGCTCTTCTTCGATACAGTAGCAGATTTCCATAATAAGAAAAGTGGCTGAAAAACGGCAAATTCCTGCCTCAAATATTCGATGACGTTAATATTACAATCTCCCTACCGTAAGATTTAATGCTATGGGTGAATACAGCGAAATCAGAGCCTAGATACTGTTCATCAGTTACAGTATGTGTACCAATGTGTAATTAACTTCAAGATCATTATTTAACGTCATTGACTTTTTATGGAAGTAACGTCCACCACTTGGAGTAAATTTGACTCACTCAATGCGTTTATGCCATTTCTCAACTAAATTACGACCATTAAAAACTATTCTTTACACCTTAAAAAAGCATCATCGATACTCATACACGCACGAAGATTTTTTCAGCGCTGCCCGGGCAGCACTACACTGCGAAACTCTAGTCTATATACAATTACAGGTACGCAACGTTTTGTTGCAGAAGCCAGTTATTAGAGTAGTAGATACGAGTAATGCATATTTCTTTGACTGCTTGAAATGAAAACGGCGACGCCATATATACACGCGGGGAGAAAAAACAAACTCCGCGAAAGGCATTTTAGTGTCCCTACGACTCGATGGCTCAAGTTGTGAAATATCGAAGAGAGAAACAAAGCCTGCGAACGAACTTATAATGACAGAATCAAAAGTTGGGCTAGTTGGATATGCATGGTATAACTGTCAGTCCTAGAATATTGTTTTAGATCCGTAAAGCCTATACTTAATTACAGGTCGAGCAACTCTAAGCTAGTGAAGAGAAGTATGGTTACTATGAGTTTCGGTTTTGCTCTGAAGAAGTCCTGCCAACACAGAATGAAAATGAGCTTTGACAGTCAAGTAGGGAAACTGGTACAAGCAGGGTATCCTAATGATGTCATCACGTCCGTGTGTAACAACATGATTAAGAAACTAAAATTCGAAGGGAACCACTCGGGGTGTCATGATGACAGTAGAAAAGGTAGGAGGGTAGCAGCAATTCCTTACCTTCATAAGACATCGCATGAACTTAAGCAACTTGGTAATAGATATAAAGTCGCCCCACCGCGGTGGTCTAGTGGCTAAGGTACTCGGCTGCTGACCCGCAGGTCGCGGGATCGAATCCCGGCCACGGCGGCTGCATTTCCGATGGAGGCGGAAATGTTGTAGGCCCGTGTGTTCAGATTTGCGTGCACATTAAAGAACCCCAGGTGGTCGAAATTTCCGGAGTCCTCCACTACGGCATCTCTCATAATCATAGGGTGGTTTTGGAACGTTAAACCCCACATATCAATCAATAGATATAAAGTCGATGTGCTTTTCTCAGCCAAAAGCAAACTGCAGTCTATTTGTTCGCGCATGCGCAGAGAGTTTCCGCAATGTCGCATGAAACACAGCAAAAGGTTCGTGGAATGTGCAATGGGCGTTGTCTGCATGACTCCTTTTAGCTGTGGTAAAGTGTACATAGGTCAGTCGGGAAGGTGCATCAATGTTCGTCTCAGAGAGCACAATTCTTCTTTGAAATCCTCGGGAGCATCGCATCTCAGTGGATGATTGCAGAGAGTGTGGTTGCTATCCTCTTTTTCAGGATACTAAAGTGGTTTTTCGATCTAGCAATCAACTTGTGTGTTGACGGAAGCTTTTCACATAAAAAAAGAGGTGAACAATGCGTCAGCCAGCTTCAGCTTTGCTGCATCGATAAAGAGTTTGCTTTTCTAGAATTTGTTCCGAGATTAATATTTCTTCGTTTGTTCTCGAGGTGCCACGGGTGTACTTTTTGCATGCACACGCATGCGTTCTTTTTTAATTGCCTGATTATATATTCTTCCCTTTCTAATAAATCATTTAGTTGCGAGTAAGCACTTGTCCTGTCTTCCTTTCTGTTTATTCGTGCGCTTGAACTGACAGTTATACGATGTATTTAATGACACCAATAAAAGGGAACGTCCGCGCAGCTCAGATGGTTCACTGGCGACTGGTCTCTGATGTCCTTGGGATTCCTGTGGGCTTCCTCCTTGCACCACACATATGTAAACACACATACTAGTGGACATGTGCCCCGTTTTATGACCCACTTAGAAGGCGATAACAGTGGCCGTTGATTCGAGTGTGCTTTCGATGGTCCAAGGTCACGGACCCGAACTTGAAATCCTTCAAGAAAGGTGTCCACGACAGGCGTGACCTCATATAAGATTTTAGTACAACCACACAAACAATATAAACTAGAAATAATCCTTCAAGATTGTTAGAATGAACGCAAAACTGTAGTCTTCTCAGAACAGACGGGTTAAAAGCGCAGGAAAAGTACAGGCAAGCCAAGGTCAACACAGGAATCGCGTGCTGCTTTACAGATAGCAGAAAAACCGGCAACGAAAAAAAAACAAGATGCAAAAAAACATTTACTACTGGTCCTACCGCCCTGGCCACTCGTGCTTACTGCTTACCACACAGAGCAGAACGTTCATTTCTTTGAAACAAAGAAAAAAAAAAGAGTTGGGGTCCCGTCGTTTCGATCTTGGAATACACCACGCGTCACGTCCTTCTCCCAGGTAGAATAGACAGATTTAGTTGCGCGTCCGCAGCAGCAGCCGTAAGGACGTGGAATGGTGGTGGTGGTGGAGAACATGTATTAAGAAAAGCACAGAGAGTTGCACTACAAATGCACTTGGGTGGTTTCCTTATTCCGGAAGTCCACTGGAGGTCATCGCTGCTCGGGCGCGGGCCAGCAGGGAGCGCTGAGCGTCCCGGGTGGAGCAGCCGATCAGGAACTACTCTCAAGCCTCAATTGTGGGTAGGGGGAAGGGGGATGAAAACGGAAGAGGTATAGCTGGGCATACTGCAATTATGTGGTACGTGTCGGCCAGCACCCATCAGTGCGCACAGTAGCTGTGTATACCCGGCATGAAATGCTGGGCGGCTGCAGGACACAAGAAGGTGTTCGTCTGCAAGTGTCTCAGAAGTCGCTCATCCGCTTTAGAGAGACCCCGTGCAGGTTCTGGGTAAAGACGGCGCGAGTTTCGATAGTAATCAAGGATTTCGCGGTACTGCGTAAGAGCTGAAGGTGCCTGGGGGAGACGCGGGGTCGAAAAAGGTAACGGCCCTAGAGAGAGAAACGCAGGCAGCGGCATGAGCCGCTTCGTTACCGGGGAGACCCGCGTGGCCAGGAGATCATACCTATGTGGATGGAGTGCGGTTCAAAAACGGACTCGCGCATCGCCTGTTCCCGATACCTGCAAGGAGGCGGAATGCCAGTGTAAAAAGCGCTGCGCCTTGCTCACCCCCCAAGAAACACGAAACTTCTCTCAACGACTAGAAAGGTATGCCGACATCTAGGTATAATACTCGACGTTGAATAAACGTTTTTTAAAGGAAGTTTTTTTAGAAGACGTTGAGAAAACGTTTTTTACAAGAAGTCTTTTTCAAAACGTTCACTAAAAGTTATTTTCTAGAACTTTTCGTAGAATTCGTGGATGAGGTCTCCGGAATGTTTTCTACGTTTCTTTCTTTTTTAAATCAAAATACTATTCGCTTTACATACTTATGTAGTATATATTCTTACATATTTTTACATATTTATATGTAATAATTGAGCTCTCTAGTCAGCATTAAAGGCCAACTGCAACGAAATTTGACTCCGACGGAATCGCCTAGAATCGCGTAGTACATGTCAGGAATGTCATGATAATGACAATAAAAAAACTAGCAGTCACGAATATAATTGATAATCGGTGCTCTAATTGCCAGCTAGCAGACGACGTGAAGCTCTAGCGGTGTGCCCAGGCAACTCGGACACAACCAGACATGACGTAGGTAACAGCCCGCCGCTCCTCGTGGGTGAACGTGAGCGCAGCATACCATCATGCGACCGTGCCGCGAAATCTCTTTTATGCGCTACGCCCGACCGCGAGCAGCTTATTCAGAAAGTGAAGGTTGGGGCACGATGCCAACGAAATGCGTGGCCGTGGGCTGCCTGAACACGTATGCCACGGCCGGGACCAGCTTTTACGTTTTCCCGAAAGGCGTAAATGCCATGTGCGCAAATGCGGTGTGCGCCTGCGCGGCTAGATACTTGTCTGGACGTGCTTATCGGCCGCTCAGTCGCCTCTTGAAGAAGCGGGTTTGAGTCGGTTTCTCTTGTGTCTTAAAAGTGTGCTTGCGCTTTGTGTTCGTGTTTTGTGTTCTGCCAGTGCTGCTGATTACGAAGATGCGCTATACTCAAGCGAAAACGTGTGGGTTCGTATCGCGGAGCACTCGCCAGGTAAGTACCACACTGCTGCTGTCGGCGCTTTGTCACCATGTTTTCTACCATGTGCGCGATAAGTGAGCTTTTGTTAACATGGGGGCCCAGCTTTTCTGTAGTACTTCAGTAGTGGTGTGTGAAGGTGTGCGAAGTTAAGCGCAGACAAGTTTTTTTTGTGTGTGTGTGGAGTGTGAAGCATGCAAGCGGGAATTCGGCGGCAGATTCGAGCAGAGTTGTGGCGGCTGTCCGCCTCTGTAGGCAGTGATGTTAGAAGGGGGCCCTGCTCGCTAGCGACCACTATTTTCGTTTATTAATTCTGGGGCGTTTGTTAGCTGTAGGCGTTGATGCTTGTTTATATTGTGCGCTGTTGAAGTAGACGTGTCTAAGGCAGTTTCCTCTGCTGTATGTTCCATTTTAAACAGCTACAGTATTTATGCGTTATGACAACTATCAGAGTAGTTCTGGCAAGGTTCTCTTTGGCGTCTCTCAATTTTTTCCTTGCGAATGGCCGAATGTATGCCGGTGTGTGCATCCGCGCCGGCATGCGTCTTTATAAACTACCGTGGTACTCGAGTTGATGCGTGTTCGTGTGCAGCGTGTTGCGTCGTCCTAGGTAGGGCTTACAAAGGTTGCACCTACACTTAAGTGTTCATGCAGGTAGTTTAGCAAATTTCTAACTTTCAGTATACACCAGCAACATAGGTTGCCTCATGCGGCCTGAATCCGTGCATTTTAAGCCATTCGTTTATCCTGAACTGTATTTTCGAACGAATGTTTCATGGCTAAATGTGGTCAAATTGTTGTACCTTACTGTGCGAGCACTAATACAGTCGTAATCCACGCGTTCGAGCACCACCGATTTTACTCTGCTTGTTTCCGCTATGCTTGTATTTTGATTTGGTTTATTAAATCTTTTATGCACCTCGCCCAACCTTGGTGTCGAAACTTTGCTAAACACTCTTACGTGTATGAACATTAAGAATAGTTTATAGCGCCACCTCCAATGAAATTTTCTGATTAATGACAAGCTTAACAGTATATTGGATAAAGTAAACTTTCTAAGCATGCGCCACAGATGTTGATGGAATCTGTGGTCTGTGCAAAAATAATATTTTATTTATCACTCAAAACTCGCGATAAAGTTATAAATCATGGTAAGTATGCATAAGTCATGCACGTATTGCTGTTATGCGCCACAGATGTTGATGGAATCTGTGGTCTGTGCAGAAATAATATTTTATTTATCACTCAAAACTCGCGATAATGTTACAAATCATAATAAGCATGCATAAGTCATGCACGTATTGCTGTTAAAATGCAGAATTGGACACCGCCTTTATTTGAGAACAATAAATATAGACTGCAAGTTTTCAAGCTATTGGCACTGATGGAAATTACAAACTCGGAAATCAGTTTCATCAGATCTTATTACTGAATCGCGGTCAATATCTTCCAAGATTCTGGTTCCCGGAGATTGTTGCAGAAGCTTGCATGCTTTATTGGGATGGTGTGTGGTTAAAGATGGGTGCCTCATGTTTTTTTTTTTTTTTGCATTGACAGCCTGTGGTGCTTGAGTGAGGGGTACTGCCATTTTAGCCAACCAGAATTATTGAAACTGATGACCATAATTTGGCAGCACACAATAGTAATTTATTGACACCAATTTAAGACATAGACATAATTGTCCCAGTGTGAGCAGCCTGAAAAAAAGCTACATTAGTTGTATTTGAAATTAAATTCATGTTGAATGATATAGGTTACCTGCAATGGATATTTGATGAAAGTGCATACCATCATGTATGTGTCTAGGTGTCATTGAATTGGCTTTCAAAGCACTATGCACGAGCGCAATTAAAGCATGGTTTCGACACATCTGCAATGTGTAAATTGCATTTTCTTTCATAAGGTTGCAACTGTGTTCGCCTAAAGCATCAAGAAAGTTTTGCTTGTAACATCTCTACTTTGTGTACGCCCTGCTTGTTTTAAGACACATTGTTCCAAATCATTTAAAATATAATGACAAATTTAGTTTTTCTAAGAGACACAAGTCACTAAATTGTTTTTTTTTTTGTTGTTTCCATTGCAGCCTATGCATGCATGTCGTAAGAACTGAGTGTGAAAGAATTCCAGACAAGCCTGTCGTCAATGATGGCTCGTGGAAAAGTTGGCTACTGAATGTATGGCAGCTGCGCATGGCTTGTTTCCTATGGAAAGGGAACTTCCCTGAGCCACCTGGCTGCTGTATTGAAGTAGTTCGCATGTTCAGGATGTTCAACATTAAGGCTTTTGCTTTTCTTTAAAAAAGTCAGTGCTGTAAGTTGTGTGTGTAAAAGCCACCTTTGCAGATAGCTAAGTGTTCAGGGGAACACAATGTGTGCAATAATTATCACTGTCAGCCTTGCCCTTGAATAAGATTCAATAATGATTTTATTAGCGACTGCAGAAGGCGGCCATGCACGTATTAAATATTTTAGCCAGTCACATTCTGGCATGCCTGTGCTCAGATATCCCGCTGGAAAGTATAGTTGTGGCTTGTATCGTTATGCATGCAGGACAGTGAGCACTAGCACACAGCTACTACTCCCTGAGGTGCGGCATATAATCTGATCATGGATTGCAGCCATAGACAAGCATTATATTGGTTGCCTTTTACTACCGGCTGGAATAGCAAGCAGTGACTGCTTGTCTCACCAGGGAGTAATGTTTTGGTTATCATCGCTGCCTTGCATGCGTAATCATGGAAAGCACAATAAACTTCCGAGTTGAATATCTTGGAGCATAGACATGCTAGAAGAATTTTTCCAAGTGGGAGTGTCTAGAAAAATGACTGCCACAAACTGTTCTATGCAAACATACCCACTTATTGCAGGCACCAAAATTTCAATATTCTTAGTTGATTGGGCAGCTGACAGCATTATTGCCTTACTTTGTGTTCCCCTGGACAAATAACTCATATGCAAAAGCAGTTTTCTGTTCTTAAGGCTGAATTTTATACAAGCACAAAGCACGTCTCTGAATGGGTCAGTGCTGCTTTTTAAGGTTTTATGTCAAGTTTAATTTATGTGTAATCTGTAGTTCCCTTAAAATTGAACTTTTTGCATTACAATTAGGCTGGAGCAGATGAATGGTTTTATTTTCACTGTAATATTGACTGAATATTTTGTATTATTGTTCTTGTAACCTTATTTCATTGTATTCTCAAATATATAGCCATAAGTGCAATCAAGTGATTTTCTATTGTCATACTTAATCATACCTAACTTTGCCAATACCTAACCATTTGTGATATATTAGTGATACCTAACCATGTTTAACATTGGTAATGATGACTGACAGAAGGCATTCTGGAATACTCTAGCGTTTTTAACTTCACTGTGTCTTTGTGCGAGTATTTTGGGATGGAATTAGAATATGGGGTGTTGCTAAAATCGCAATTCGGTTGTCAAACACACATTTGTGGTGAAACCCAATAATTTCAACTATTCATGGTTCTAACATACCTAAATTTAGGCGGACTGGATGAGAAAAAAATCAATTGTTCGACTGCTGCTTTTTGTCTGTAGCAAATTTTCTACCTTTATATATTTGCTACTGGGCCAATGTGTTTGCTAAGCTAGCCTTCTAAATTTCGTTGCACTGATAGAAGTCTGCTCGAAGAGAACAGTTTGTGCCTTTTTTATGTGTGCAGGTTTCGGGACCAAGTATCTGGCCAGCCCCTCAATTGCTTTGTATAATTATAGTTACTAAATAGCATGCAAATTTTGGGACAAAGCGTACAGTCATTGTTATGTATAATAAAGGTTACAGGTATACAACAAGATTTGTTGAAATTTTGCATTTACATTTATATGTGCAGTATAATGCATTCCAGGCAACACCAGAAACAATAATGAGTTGACGGTAAAAAGCCCCTGTTGTCTTCAAGCAAAACAGATTATCGTCCTGATAGATGGCAGTCACTAATTCTTTCAATAATTATGGCACTAATTTCGCTGATTAGAATAGTGCCATAATAATTTGATGCCTAATTATGTTACCGTTCTACTTTTCGCTTTCGACAGTGAACAACTAAATGCACCGATTGTAAAACGCTGGCGTGGTACAGCAAATTAACCATGGGAAACGCTGAACAAGCTGGTTTGCATGAAAAATAAATGTCTAAAAAAGGTGTTGAAAGATCTAGCAAAAGTCTTTTTAGAATCTTGGCAAGCAATTTACTAGGCTTCTAATAATATAAGTATAGCAAACGTTTACAAAGGTTCTTTAAAAAATGTAGAAAGATGTTTTTTAGACCTCTTGCTAGAAGTTTTCTAGCCGTACAATAACGTGGTTTTAGCACAGCTACAGGAGGTTTTCAAGCTGCTTAGGTTTAAATAACATCTCAAGAAGACTTTTTATATACTTTTGGACTATTCTTTTTGGACATTTACTAGAACTTTTTTAGCTTTTCTTGTATATCGTGGGCCGGCTGCAGAAATTAGGCGCTTTCTTCTTCTAACCACTACCACCATCATTGCAAATGGCTAGCAGGCTGTGTCCTGCTGCTGCTGATGCGTGACTAAATCTGTCTAATGACACCTAAATACCTAAAAGGATGAAAAAAATACGCTGCCACGGAGTCGCTGGTACCAATATGTGCGGTGCATGCGTCAGGCCTTTCGATTATTTGCCTACTTTTTTGTTTTTTACTGATATCGCAGCGTTAGGAAGGAGACAACGCTATTTCTTTCCGAGGACTTGCTGAAGCACTGCTATACAAAGTGACGCGCATGCATTGAGCAGCATTAACTTTGCCATGTTCCTAGAGGCAGACGCGTCCCACTGCCAAAGGTTTAATCCCAAGCAACAATTTGTCTCCGCAAGAGGTCGGCAAGAGGTCTGTGACTGACTGCGAAGTGGTTGGTCCGACCTTGGCCACCAACGTAGGGCCGGTCTTGGGGATTGACATTGGCTTCACGCTGGCGGCGTCGGCACACAACGTAGGCCCAACCTCGTTGGCCGACGAGCCCGAGTGCGTGCCACACTGGGTTTGATGATGGCCCGACTTTACATAAGCGTCGATTTACCGACGGCTGCAGGTCGGGTTGCCAACGTTCCTTGCTCTGTTTTTCTTTCTTTTTTGCATTTGGTGCGCATGACACTGCCTCAGTGCACATGTAAGACGAAACTAAATGCCTCTAAAGTCTGATCTTGTTAGCGTGTGAATACGTAACACAGAATAAAACAAAGGCAAACGTAAGCTTCCTCACTTTATATGTTTATTCTGCAGTTGTATATATGTACAATGTTTTCATGCAACCCAACTATACAGTCGATGGAGTGGTATTCCTGCTAGATCAGTTCTCTCTTTCAGTCAATTTTCGTGCTCTTGGCCGTGAATACGTATTCGGTGTGCGACGTTTTACCACCGAGATGTGAGGCTTGTATCATTCTGTTGCTGGGAATAGCTAGAAAGAACAAACATAATGATTAATACTTAGAGAAAGGCAGACTATTTACATGACTAGTTGCACAGTCGCATGCGTTTATAAGCTCTACTCGCACAATTCGGCAAAACAAGTTTGTGGGTATATACACAAATAAAGAAACTATGCACACACAATAATTATGTCAATGCGTTGAGATTCTGAACGTGCTTGAAGCCTCGGAGCACACAGTTTCTTCGTAATATGTTGCTGAAAAACAAAAGTACAACAAATATATTAAGGACAACCCATCTTACTTTCAAAATGGGCCAGGCAGATATTTTTCAGTCGGCATTCACCACCCATTTGTGACCTGATATAACGTGAAAATATTTCGTAGGACTTTAGCAACCAAGCATGCATCTTGCCAGACTTCCTTTCACTACAACGAGACAAGTGCATTTCGCTATCCACACTTTTTGCAGTCCTTGTTTCAGTCCTTGTTGCAGTGCTTTATAAAGGAAAAAATAGCAATATTTATCATGCTCTTTTAATACAAATGAACAAAAACACGAGAGGCGTATATTTACACGTAAACCATCAACGATGGCTGATACATGAGCCGTTCACCTGAACCATTCTTATCCGTCAACTAGAAGAGTCTACCTGATTGACACATCAGTTGCGCAGATCAAAGCGAATTTTGTCATGAGAGAAAACTGGCCTTTTCGGTGTAGACAACTATACCTCTAGGTATAGAAAACTATCCTATTCATGCCAAGAGCACAAAAATTGACCCAAAGGGAGAACTGATGTAGCAGGAATACCACTCCATCGACTGTATAGTTGGGTTGCACAAGGCCTCCTGCAAATCGTTCTATGAGAAAATTGCTCATATAAAGTGAGAAAGCTTAGGTTCGTCTTGCTTTTATTGCGTGTTACGTACTAACAAGCTAACAAGTGCATACTTTGGAGGTGCTTAATTTAGTCTTACATGTGCACTGAGCCAATGTCATGTGCACAAAATACCAAAAATAAAGAAAAGCAGAGCAAGGAACATCGACGAGCCACCTGCAGCCGGCGGTAAATCGACACGTATGTAAGGTCGGGCCATGGTCAACCCGCGTGCGGTACACAGCTCGTGCCTCTTCGGCGAACGTGGTCAGGCCTACGTTGTGTTCCGACATCAGTCGTCATGAGGCCAATGTCAATCCCCAAGACCTGCCCTACGTTCGTTACCAAGGTCGGGTCAACCACTTCGCAGTCGGTAACATACCTCTCGCCGACTTCTTTCCGAAAACAAATTGTTGCTTGGAGATTCGAATGATGCTAAGAAGTGATGCTTGGAGAATTTGAATGATATAAGTGGCACGTTTTTTCGAAAAAAAATTGTTAGAGCAGCACATCCCCTGTCTTTTCTCGTTCTTGTGTGTGTCCTAACGCTGCCCCATATTTTTTAATTTTTATTTGTTTATTTACAAATACTGCAGGCCCTACTCGGACCCAAGCAGGAGTGGGAATATCAATAAAAACAGTACCAACAATAAAGCTTACAACTATCGACAGGTTAGGTAGTAAACCACAATGACCAAGCAGAAGAAAATGCTTTATAATAACAAACACACAACATTGTAAGTGATACAATGAGCTTGTACAATAATTCAACACATGATCGAGATAAACAATATGTATAAAAAAGTGAATGCGAGAATCAATTGCCACAAAACTGTTCAGCATAAACAGAACTTTACATATCAAACGAAGGGTTATTTAAAAACTGAACAAATGATTCAGCTGTATTAGCGTTTGCAACTTCTTCGGGTAATTTTTTTCATTGTGATATAGCATGTGGAAAAAGGGAATACTGACGTATATTAAGATTACTAAACGGCTGCTGGACTGTTCTGCTGTGGTTTCACTATTGAAGAATCAATGTCGTGCTTAAATTCAAGCAACTGTGTAACAGTAGCATAGCAAGCACGAAAGCGGTGCTGTGATCAGGAAAGTATATTGTGAGCCTTTAAGTATTCTACAATGCATTTGTTAATGATATGCTCGAAAAGTTCTGAGAGTGAGGACATTAGCCTATAATTTGAAATAATTTCTTTGTTTCCGGGCCTAAATACTGCACGACGTTTGCTAATTTGCACAACTGCAAACTGTTGCACATATCATTGATTTTTTAAATATTGCAGTATGATAGTGCATCATTCTAAGTACTACTTTAGAAATATATTTGGAATAGCGTCTGGGCCAGGTAGTTTCGTAACCTGAAGATTTCATATAAGTTTATGTGCCCCAGAAAAGCTTAGTTCAAGTTAAAAAGAGCAGGTAGATTGTTTCGCGTGGAAAATGAAGGAGTGATGCCATTATCAGTAGATAAAACGTATTTGAATTATTATCCATGGCATTTGCTGTAGCTTCAGGATTTGTGGAGGATTGATCATCCACAAATGGCGGAACATGGGAGAGGCCTTTGTCCTGCAGTGGACGTAGTCAGGCTGATGATGATCATCATCTTCATCAAAATAAGCGATCAAGGCATAAACAATGCAGGACTAACCAATCTCTGAAATCTGGATGAATTTTTTTTTTTCAGAAATGTAGCCAAAGGCATTTCTAAAGCATTATCTCTTAGCCTCTTTCATTTTAGCTTCTAATTTACTTTCCAAGGCATTAAATGAAGCATTATGATCGAACTTCAAAAGACGATTCTTATGTGGGCACTCTATATGCGATGAGTGAGACGCATTATGATTGAATTGTACCATGGGTGTTTTGGGTTCCATTTAATATATTTTTGAGGCACATAGTTTGATAGGCCTTCACGAAGAAAGTCACAGACATTAAAAAACAGAGCTTTCAAATTGCAAAAATTGCCACGACATTCAAATGCCCCAAAAGGTGAGGTGAGGCTAATGTGGCCAGTATATACGGAAGTATCATCAACTTTTAAACAGTTCCAAACTTTTGATATCAGGTCTTTGAACAAATATGTTCAGTTCGAGGCAACTTCAATAGCTGTATGGTCAGAAAACTTTTTAATGGCTTCACATTTTACGCTGTGTGAGAGTAGCACGCAGCGCGGCAGTGAACTAAGGCTGCAGCTAACTCTTTTTAATCCAATCTCGTGGAAATGTAAAACACTGGTGAGAGTAAATACGACCCCTTCTGAGAAAAGAGCAATGTCGTGCAGCAATATCATAGCGCGTAGAACGTGACACAAAGCGTTGCTAATGCATGCTGAAACGGCTAGCGGAGATACCCCCACTCGCAACCATACCCTTATATTCAAAGCTCACAGTTGCGGATCGAGCCACGTAGCCTCCTACCTCAACGTCTCTTCATACTCCTTCGTCCAGCAAAAGACAAACAGGGCTGGCTCCCTTTCTGGTTCAACAGCAATCGGGGGC